TCCAGTTGGATAGCCACAGTAAAGTGTGTAAATAATGATTAAAAATATGTATTTTTTTTAACAACCTAAGTAGTTCTTGGTTTTTTGAAGGGACATAGCAATGACAGCCACATATCCCTGGACTTCTGGGTCAGAAGTATTTGACATGGTGTTATCTTTTTCTGAAACTTCTTGAATTGCCACCAAAATATCAGTCAAATATTGAATCCCCTAAAATGCCTCTTGTCACCTGAATTTGGCGTAGAACCACTTCCCTCAATCAGTGTCCCACGTTTTGTTACTGTAACTGAAGGACTTGGTGTCGGGAAGGTGTCACCATGACTCGGGTCTGGATGACCACACAGGAGAGGAGGAGTTGGAGCTCAGTCATGGTGTTCCTTGTTCAGCACTATGGCATGCATGTAGTCTTAAAACTTGTTGAATTAATTTATTCCTAATAAAGTGTGGATTAAGTCTCATTGAAATGAACTCCTGGAAACAATTTCAATTATTTTGTTTCATGGAAATTGTGTAACAGATACAGTTTGGCATTAAGAGGGCCGTTGACTGTAGTCATTAATATTTTTATGTATGTACATTTTTTGGTAATGGAATTTGACCTCTAATTTTTCATAATTCTGGTTTATAGCTTATCCTGTTAAATGTCAATTTTCAACAAAATCTATTTAACTTATAACAACATTATAAAACCAGTTTTAAATTATGATTGACCTTGGAGGAAGGAATGAGTTTTTAGAAGTTTGTTTTGGATAGTTTCAGGATATCTGTGCAGGTATGGAAATATGAAAGATTGCAGTGGATGAGTACTTTTTATTCTAAAATAGATACAGTTGAAAGTTAACACTTTTCAAGCCATGTGTAACTGTATATAAAGTAATAAAGTTGTAATTTAGGTCTCAAAGGGTTTCAGCTAAACATATTTTCTAAAATTCAACAACAAAACAACCTTAAAACCGACATTGTAAACATTAAGATAGTTGAAATGCCTTCCTGATTCTTACATGGACTCTTCTATGAATCATTATCAGAATTGTTTTATTCCCAGCACTATGGCCGCCCACACAGCATTTCCCACATCAAGAAAAATTCTGCTCTGTGTCCCCAAGGGGCGTGGAGGCATAATTGTCTTCCTTTAAATTAGAATATTTTGTCACAATGCAGTTTAGTAACAGTATTTATATTAGAAATAGAAAAATCATTAAGTTTTATGCTTTTTATTAAACTGAAAGTGTCAGAAACTTCCTTTTGTAGCTTGGCAAGTGCAGTTGTTTTCTACACATCCCACCTGTTTATTTGGTTTATTCAACATAACAAACAACTCTCTGAGGAGATGAGTGGTTGTAAGTTTGGTTGCTTTCTAAAAGTCATTTTTCAAGTGTAATTTGCTTGTCAAATATTTTTAGATAGCTACAAAACTTTCCTTGTAAACATGGAGAGAGAGACTCTGGAATCCTTGAATATTACTCTTCTAATGTCTACCATGGTGTGGTTTATAATCTTACATACTGCTGACCAGGGTCAGCAAACTTTTTCTGCAAAGGGCCAAATGGAAAATATTTTAGGCTTTGCAGGCTACATGTGGTCTCTCTCAGTGTTCTTTGTGGGGTGGGGTTAAATCTCTTTAAAAATGCAAAAACCATTCTTAGCTAGGGTTCATCCAGAAATAGTTCACTGGCCATACTTGGTCCTCAGGCTAGTTTGCTGAGCCCTGTGAAAGAAATATAATTTGAATCATACATGTAATTTTAAATATTTTAGTAACCACATTGAAAGAGTAAAAAGGAGCAGATTAAATTAATTTTAATAATACTTAACCAATTATACCCACGCTATTATCACTTCAGTAGGTTGTACTAGCCGAATTTTGGGGACTCAGTCATGACAAAATTCCAGGAATTGGACAGCACAAGCTGGAGACCAGAGCTGCTCAGAGTATGGTCTGTGAGTTGGGGCCAGTCTGAGTTCATTGCCAGTCTGTTTCAAGTTAAGTATAGACATTAAAAGTAAGCATTTAAAGTATTTTACAGTGATTTGACAGTTACTTTATGCCTGTTGAATCTAATAATGCACTTGCATTTCATGCCTTTTTTTTTACATTTTATTCCAGTAATTTATTCTTACTGTATCTTACAGATGAATAAGTCTGTGAAATTAAAGAGAAACTGGCTGTTCATTACAGATAGTTTAAGAGTCACGGTTCTAGACCGTCTCTCCTGAAATTCTGTAGGCCTCTGGTATATATGGCCCAAGTAAAAAGATAAGAAATGGTGATGAGATTGTGGTGCATAGTTTATCTAGTATTAGTTATACCCCCAATACAGAGCAGTGTCCTTCTACTTGTCTCTTTTGGAGATACCACTGGAGCATCACCCACAGCTTATACAAAAATCAGCAAGGGTTCATGCTCAATTCCAGACCAGTTGAATCAGAATCTCGTGGGAGGGACCTGCGTATCATGCAGTTTCCAGGTGATTAGATTATGCAGCTAGTGTTGTTCCGCGGACCCCTCATCTCAGAAAACTCTGCTCTTCTCCATCTAGAAAGACTCACTGATCTGGGTGGTGATTTTCTGTGTGGTACCATTTATCTCTTTATCCGTTGGAAAGGGGACTTTCCAGTTAAATGTGGCAGGTTGAGTGAATATCAGCATTTTTATTTTTACTCTCTTCTGGAACCCACTAAAACAAAAGGACTAGAAAAGGCATAAGGCACGAACTCACCAGTAGAAAGCAAATGGGAGAAGACAGAAATTGTCCTGATTGGTCAGGTTCTTGGTAAAAGCAGGTAGCTAGAAATGAACAGAACTAGGAGAGGTGATCTGAGGGCCTACAAATGAGCGTGCTAAGAAGCAAACCAGTTTGCAATGCCGGCTCCGAAATTAGAGGACCCAGTTACCTCAGAGGGTGAGGGGGAAGTTTGCAGCTGAAAACAGGAGCGGTTGAAAGTCTCTGTATCAGACTCCCACAGGTCCCCCCCTTCAAGGCGACTATTGTTCCTTTACCTTGGGTGAAGCTAGAAGTTAGAGCTTGGAGAATTTTAATCTGAGAGGTTCAGTCATAGCCGGAGTTGGAATATCTTTTACAAATAAGGACACCTTTTGAAAAAACATGGCCTGAAGCTAAAGTCTGAATATTGAGGTTAAGACCCCACTGTTCTCTTGCCCTGCTCTCAGAACACGGCCGTCAGGTATATACAGGGGCGGACAAAGTAGGCTTACAGTTGTGAGTGTGCAAAACACAGAGTTCACCCTGTATTATTAGTCATTTATGAATTATTATATTAATATTAACCTGCTTTTGCCCACCCCTGTATGCCCCAGAGAGGATATAGGACCATTTCTCTCTGGGATAAGGACAGATTTAACAGAGACTGCTTTGGGGGATTCCTAATAAAAAACTTAACTTATTGCCTCATCACCTGTAGTAAAGCCAACTAATTAGCAAACAACCCCCACAAAGTAGACAGAGATTCTGATTATCGTGTTAATGCTGGATAGCCAGGAACCATCAGACATTTGTGGAAGGCCTGTAAAGCAAGAAACATAAGAATATTTAAAATGTTACAAGGAAGAAAATAATGAGAATTTTTGTATCTTTAGCAAAATAAGATATTACATCCAAGAAGTTAGACTAGGGTGCTGTTTAAAAGAACATTCAGAGAAAAAGAAAGTGGTCTTGGAAATTAAAAGTATGATAGAAAAAATTGCAAGTGAATTAGAAGTGTTGGAGAGTAATGCCAGAGAAATCCATCAGACAGTACGAAAAGAAATACAATACTGAAAAGAAAATACATGATAATCAAAATATGAATCTAAGATGTCTAGTATCTAATAAAAAGGACTTCCGGGAGAGGAGGAGGGGGGCAGTAGGAAGGACATCCAGAGGACCCAGCACAATGAATGTCCACTCTAAGAATACAGAGAAGGTATAGTTTTTCATGAAACAAAATAGGCTACATATAAGAAGATTTGGAATTGGTATGATATTGGACTTTTCAACAGCTACACTAGAAGCTGCTAGAACAGGGGAGTGATGCCCTCAAAATTCTGAGGGTAAAATATTTCTAACCTTGAATTTCATCAGCCAGTTCAGGTCTTCCAACACCGACTTTCAGGTTCCTGAACGAGACAGTTGCTTGTCAGTGTTGCAGTCTTGAAATAATTCATTTGTAAAGCGCCGTAAACTGCTCACAGTTTTCTTAAAGGAGCAAGAAAAAAGATACTGAACTTCATGTATTATTGTTTTTCTTTTGCTAATTATTACAGTATCATAACTTTTTTCTATTGCTCTATTTCTTCTAAGCTCTTCTAGGATAAAGAATTGGAAGCATAAAGACACCTTTCTATTTAAACCCAAATACTGTCTTTTTTTCTCTCCTATTTTTCTTTCTACTCAAACTGCTTCTTAAAAATCATGGATAAGATTTGATACATTGTAGAATTAGGGATTCTTTACAAGTGATTAACCTGTAAGCTTTAGATTGCTAGATGAGTGGAATAGTAATTGGTAAGTAAGTGAAACTGGGAAGATAGGTCCTAAGGTTTTTGAACTAATTTTAATGTGTTCCACAAATGTGGTCCTGCTTACAACTTTTGAGAAGTTGAATACTGATATGTTTTAATAACACACGCTCTATTTTCCCTTTTCATACCTGAGGCAAGTACCTAAATTACTCCAAGTAAGGAGACAATCAGTGTCATAGTGAAATTAGATTGATACATGGGAAGAAGAAACCAGAGTTTAATTGAGAGGGTTTATTTTTTTCCCCCTGAGTTCTGAGTATTCTCTCTGAAAGGAAATGGGAAGTGAGGACCAGCTCGGATAAAGAGGCAGTGCCCCAGGAGGGCCTGGCGACCTTACAGCCCCATCCCTTTACAGTGCAAGGCGGATTCCTGACCAGTGTTGCAGAAAGTTCCAACGAGAAAAGGGGTTGGGTTCTGCCTTTTCTGTTTTCGCATACCACTTTAACCTATTTTTCTCCTTCTCCCGTTTTGTCTTTAGATCTTATAATCAATGGATAAAGTGGGGAAAATGTGGAGTAATTTCAAATACAGGTGTCAGAATCTCTTCAATCATGAGGGAGGAAGCCGTACTGAAAATGTGGACATGAACTCCAACAGATGTTTGTCTATCAAAGAGAAAAACGTCAGTATAGGAGACCTAGCTCCTCAGCAACAAAGCAGTCCCTTAAGAGAAAATGTTGCCTTACAACTGGGATTAAGCCCTTCAAAGAATTCTTCAAGAAGAAACCCAAATTGTGCCACTGAAATTCCTCAGATTGTGGAAATAAGCATTGAAAAGGATAATGATTCGTGTGTCACCCCAGGAACAAGACTTGCAAGAAGAGACTCCTACTCCCGACATGCTCCGTGGGGTGGCAGGAAGAAACATTCCTGCTCTACGAAGACTCAGAGTTCGTTGGATACTGATAAAAAGTTCGGTGGAACTCGAAGTGGGCTTCAAAGGAGAGAGCGGCGGTACGGCGTGAGCTCTGTGCACGATATGGACAGCGTTCCCAGCAGAACTGTAGGAAGTCGCTCTCTGAGGCAGAGGTTGCAGGATACTGTGGGTTTGTGTTTTCCAGTGAGAACTTACAGCAAGCAGTCAAAGCCTCTGTTTTCTAATAAAAGAAAAATACACCTTTCTGAATTAATGCTTGAGAAATGCCCTTTTCCTGCTGGCTCAGATTTAGCCCAAAAATGGCATTTGATTAAACAGCATACAGCCCCCGTGAGCCCACATTCAACATTTTTTGATACATTTGATCCATCGTTGGTTTCTACAGAAGATGAAGAAGATAGGCTTAGAGAGAGAAGGCGTCTTAGTATTGAAGAAGGGGTTGACCCCCCTCCCAATGCACAAATACATACATTTGAAGCCACTGCACAGGTTAATCCATTATATAAACTGGGACCAAAGTTAGCTCCTGGAATGACTGAAATAAGTGGGGACAGTTCTGCAATTCCACAAGCTAATTGTGACTCAGAAGAGGACACAACCACACTGTGCTTGCAGTCACGTAGGCAGAAGCAACGTCAGGTCTCTGGAGACAGCCATGCCCACGTTAGCAGACAGGGAGCTTGGAAAGTCCACACACAGATCGATTACATTCACTGCCTGGTGCCCGATTTGCTTCAGATTACAGGGAATCCCTGCTACTGGGGAGTGATGGACCGTTACGAAGCAGAAGCCCTTCTAGAAGGGAAACCTGAAGGCACATTTTTGCTCAGGGACTCCGCGCAAGAGGACTACCTCTTCTCTGTGAGCTTCCGTCGCTACAACAGATCCCTGCATGCCCGAATTGAACAGTGGAATCACAACTTTAGTTTTGATGCTCACGACCCATGCGTGTTTCACTCCTCCACTGTAACAGGACTTTTGGAACATTATAAAGATCCCAGTTCTTGCATGTTTTTTGAACCATTGCTTACTATCTCACTAAATAGGACTTTTCCTTTTAGCTTGCAATATATCTGCCGTGCAGTAATCTGCAGATGCACTACATATGATGGAATTGATGGGCTCCCTTTACCATCAATGTTACAGGATTTTTTAAAAGAGTATCATTATAAACAAAAAGTTAGAGTTCGCTGGTTGGAGCGAGAACCAGTCAAGGCAAAGTGAACTCTCCTGTCGTAGATCCGCTTTTATGTGCATCAGACAGTACACCTATAGCGAGCACACATATCAGTGTTAGGTTTTTTTCAGTAAAGTATGTAAGCTTAGTGTTAGTGTCTGTCAGATGCGGTCTGCTGTTACTCAGAAAAATGTGGTGCCTATTGATACAGCAGGATAGAACTACAGGTGTTCAGTAAGCCTACAGCAACATTGTGGCGATTTTGCAGTTTGGTTTTTGATAGCTGTAGTAATGGAGTGAGGCAGTTCTGGGGCATTTGCTATGAAGAATTCTATTTCTTACCGAAGAACAAATTGTTAATATTGGATGAGTATTTCAACAGTGTGACTAATGTTTGAAATTATTTTTTCTAAGAATTTTTCTATACCCTTCCAAAGTAGTGATGTTCGTAGTTACTATAAATCAAGCTTCGCAAGTCCAAAAAAGAAAGACTGCCTTCCTTTTAGAAAAGAAATAAATGCAATTTTCTGGCCACAAGGGCAATAGTGCAGTTCACTTAAGTGTTGATATAGTTTATAGTCAGTCTCCTTTTCTCTTCTGCAAAAGGTACTGTTAAGTAAACCAATTTTTCTGAATAGTAGTTCTTAAAATTCCAGTCTTCTAAAGTCTGGAGAATTTTATTTGAAAGCCTTGGGTGTTGATTTTTTTAATGAGTGCTTTAATGTAAAACACACTGGGAGTTAGCTGCTGCAGTGCAGTCCTGTGTGTGGTTAGCTGGCATGTGCCATCTGCTTGTTGATTTGTCACTGTCAGACCTTTCCCTGTGCCCATGACGAGTCTGTGAACCGTGAAGACCATGAGACTAGAAGATGCCCAAACAAGTCAGAAGTGATAGCTACAGTGGTGTTGCTGGTGTTGATATTATTGTTAAACTGTAATACTTTGGATGGCAGTATTTATCGTTTTGTTGTAAGTACTCATAGCTGAATTGCTTAAGTACAATTTATAGAATTTCAATGCAGTTAATTTCTAATGGAAAATCTGAAACCTAAATTACAGATTTAAAAGGTACTGTACAACCATTGTATCTGTAAATAACTTAGCACCTTTTTGTCACTTAGAATAGTATGCAATACTACTTGAGTGAGCTATTTTGGAAGTAATACCAAGTTCTCGTGTTTGCTTCTTAGTATTGAACTGAATTTACAGTTCTGTCTAGACATTTTGCACTAAAGTAGTCGAGTCCATTCTTGTGTCTTTTTGTTAATGTGCTCTGTACCACTGGTGAGTGCTCCTTAGTTTCCTTACCTGCTGCTACAGAAAGTTATTTTACATCCTGATGGCCATGGCCAAGGCTACAGAAAAGAAAAGCTATATTTGTATGCAACACTAACCCTTTGACTGCTAATGTATGTTTCTGCTTGCTGTGCCTTGTTATGGCTGCTTTTTTGTGCTAATAAAGTATGTTTGGTGTTCTCCTTGTAGATCTGCTGTTTTATACATTTGCAACAATTTCTCTCGTAAATGGAATGGTTTGGGTTTTTTAAATAAAGCTTTACCTGACAGCCTACTATAGTCAGTGCAACCCACTGTACAGTCTAATATTGACTTATTCTGAGTAAGCTAACTCTAAATTTGATGCCATACATCTTTCCGATCATAATCACATGTACTGTGCAACAGTATATATAGTTACTGCAAATTACTGTACAGTTTAGATTATGACAAAATAAACAGAGAAATGCCAACTAAACCGATTGATTTCTCTGCTTCTCAGTGGAAAATTGAAGCCACCAATGGCATGTCATAGTAAATGAGTATCTATGGCTTCCTACTACACCAGGAACAGATTAAATGAAGTCTTGTATATCAGCAGCATTTATTGGTTTGGGGACCATTTTAATTTTTAAAAAATGCCCAAAATGTAGAACTTTAGCCAAAGACTCATCCATTTTAAAGCAAAATGGGGATTGAAGGGACTCATAATTCCTGTTATTTCTAATAGAAGTCCCTGAAGAACATATACCAAAGTGTTTGAGAACTTCATCCAAACCTACTTTAAAGCATTATGTGCAATTAAGTTGTTATGACATAATTATATTGCATAATTGTTGGGTTTGTTTTCTTGAGCTTATAATGTACCTGGAAAATAAACCTCTTGAAAATAAAAAGTCCACACTGCTTTTTGGAGACAGATTATATATATGCAAGCAAGATCTTGTTTTAAAGAGGTAACTTGAAACTCCAAGAAAGCACTTGATGTTTTATATGCTTATAGCAAATTGATGTTCTAACTGTAGTTTTTATAGAGAGTATTCTTTTATGTATTTCAGAACTTTCATACGTTCTATGGAAATTGTTTTAAATGTGTACATATTTGAGTTTATGTAAGCATGTATACAGTGTGCCGAAAGTCACCTGTGTTTCAGTTTGTGTGTGATATTAATATGCAACTTTTGGTTTAAACTTTTTTCTTACAAAATGAGTGGCTTACATTTTAAAAAAGAAAAATCACCAGCATGAAATCGCACCTTAGTCTATAGTCACTGTGTCTTTTTCTGAATCCCGTTGCAGCCTGTCAACTGAATTTGTGTTTTTATGGTCTTTTGGAAGTGCATTTTAATACAAACCAGGAAATTCTTTATACGTTTGGACACATCTTCGGAGTGAAGTAATTGATTACCCAGACAGGTTGCTCTGATTCGAACATGAGCACATTCTCATTCTTTCACTCACTCATTCGTCCACTTAGCCGTTCGTTCTCTCTAGATGTGCATATGTGTATGCACACATACATACATTTATGATAATATTGCCATCTGATTTAAAATCATGTAGAAGTCTTAGTCGATGTATATTAATCCTTGTACCATTCAAATTTGATTATCTGCACCTGAGGTTTAGTCTTGTTGCCATTAGTCTTGTTTGTAATACAGTCACTTTACAAAGAGAATGCATTCATCAGTATTTTCTGGCTAAACACAGTAAAGTATTTGAAGAAGAAACAGCTTGGTTTATATAGTTATTAAGAATCATAATTAAATTGATATATCTTAGACAAAAACTTAGCCCAATGTATAATAATTATACCACATAACCAATTTGTTTTCTTAAGGTCTGTTAGAAGGTTTATATAAGATTTATAGTGGCTTGAGCCATAAAAATTGATACTTTTGAGCATTTTGACAAATTGAAAGTTTATGAACCTTTTTATTTGACTTTTTGACGATCTGGTTGCTATTCATTTTTATCCCAACTTTCCTTTGTTCCTTGGCACTAAACAGTAGTTTGGTAATAAGTTTTATTGAGATTGGTCTTAGACCACTTATTTTGGTAGCAAAAACAGCTATCAAATTGCTTTCTGGTGGAGAGAAGGAGGGTATACGTGAGTCAGGACTCTCCCAGGAAAGACGTAGAGACTCTACCCATCTCTAGGAGTGTGTTAACAGAGCAGATTTACACCAGTGTGTTCATTTGTTCTGTACCCCAACACATACAGTTTCACTAGATGGAGTTAGATTTAAAAACACACACCAAGGGCTGACGTAAAGGTGAGAAGAGTTTCCAAAGGGGGCAATGCTACTTGGTTGGATGCATAAAAACTACATACCAATGAGGCCAGATTTTGTCTCATTTTTGCAGCAGCTGGTACGGAACTGACTTTCTAAATGACATGGTCTAAGGAGATTTTTGTGGGAGGTGGTTGGTTGTTTTGGGGGTGGTATATGAAGGGGTTGCTTGCCATTGCAGAGTATGGGTCACTTGGAACAATTGTTTCGGTGCCCCAGATGCTTGATTGAACAGGCTTTTCATCCATTCATTCAACAAATACTCATTGAAGACCCATGTCCCAGTCACCATTTTTGGTGGTGGGTCTACATTAGGCTATAAAACAATTACAGGATCACTGGGGAAACTGGCCTTGAGGTCTGAGAAGAAAATGACCAAGATCAAAGAACATTTTGATGAAAAGAACAATAAAACAGTCCCCAGGCAAGAATGAGCTTATATGCTGAGAAAGGAAATGCCACTTAGACTGGAATCCGGTGAGGATGGGGTGATGGGGCAGGGATGGTAGGTTCTAGGGTCGTAGAGAAGGGCAAGGGCCTGTCCACTGAGGACTGAATCCCTAGTAAGGAGTTTTGGTTTTATTCTGAATATGCTGGTAAACCACTAGAGAATTTAAGTATGGGATTGACAGGGTTTGCTATCTATACCTCTGGTAAAGGGAGAACAGGCTATAGTGGAACAAAATAAGGGAAACTTTTTATTTATTTTCTAAACGCATGTCTTTTAACATTTAAATGTCTCCATCATCCTGACAACCTTACCAGGCGTGGCTACCCAGTAAGTTACATACACCAGGTACTTGGGGGGCTATCGCACAGCTCTTGAACTGACCAAGTGAAGGCCAAGGGGCCACTTAGGCCACAGTCGACTCTGAGTTCACTTTGCACGAGGATACCTGGCTCACAACAGGCTGTGGGGCAGCTACACTTGAACCTTGCTCCAGATGATGAGACCAGTGAAGGCAGCACGATTCTCATGGCTGCTTTCACTTCAGAGTGTCACAGTTACTGAAGTGGAACTTGGTGGACAGGTGAGAAAAGGCCGGGGCCTGGACCAGGTGGTAGTCGTAGGGAGGAGGCAGGGGCAGGATGTCTTTCTGGTGGTAATGCGAAAGGACTTGGTGATGGATTAGATATGAAGAAGAAATCAAAACTACCAGTGTTTGGCCTGAGCAGGGATGGTTATGCCATTAGCTAAGATTTTGGAAACCCAGTAGAGGAGCAAATCGGAGGGTGTCAATATGAATCCTGCCTTTGATATGTTGAGTTCTGAGGTTCTATTAATTATCACAGTGGAGACACTGAGTGGGCAGTTGGAGGTGTGAATGTAAAGTTGAGGGGAAAAGTGAAATATGGGGAGTCCCTATATGGATAATATTTAAAACCACAAGGCAGGGTGGCAGCAGCTAGGGACTTTCCATGGGAGTAAAGCATTTCTTCGGGGGAACTAATTATGACAACATTTATCTTATAAATTCAATATTCTGCATCAGTAAGTTTTTTTAAGCCCACTACTTAATGGGAGAATTGCCTTTCAAAGAGTTTAAAAATAATGGGATCATAAATCTTGCACTCGATTTTAAAACTTGATCCATGACATATTTCATCTTGCCTTCCAGGTCAAGTGTATTTGGGAATTTTTAGCACAAATTTTTATATGAGAAGTGCAAGTTCATTATGAAATATTTAGAAAGTACTAGAAATTACAAAGAATCAGAGCCTCCCCAAAAAGAAAAAACCTAGTTCATACTATCATTTTCTCTGGCATCACCCACCCCAGCCTCTGCCTCCCAGCTCCCATTTGGTAATCTTCCAGCAGTGACTGCTGTTAACATTTCTTCTAATATTTATTCCCTTCCACTGTTTTTCCATGCATTTTAACAGTTAATAACACAGAGAAGGGGAGGGTCTTAGGCTTCTAATCACTTTTTTTTTTTTAAGATTGTATTTATTGAGAGAGGAATGAAGGAGCGGGGAAGAGGGGGAAAGAAATGTCAGTGTGTGGTTGTCTCTCGCATGCCCCCAACTGGGGACCTGGCCTGCAACCCAGGCATGTGCCCTGCCTGGGAATCAACTTGGCAACCCTTGGGTTCTCGGGCCAGCAGCAATCCACTGGGCTACACCAGGCAGGGCTTGAATCCCTTTAGAGAGTATACTCAGATGTGCTCCAAATTCTGCTATTCACCTCATTCAGTGTGGACCTTGGTCCCTTTGGTCACTTCAGACTTGGAGGCAGGTCTTTCAGTGGATAGAATAACAGATTGCAAAGGCCTGGTTGCAGATGGTTTCTTGAAATAAAATTTCAGTAAAAGATGAGAACCCTCACCTCACAGAATTTATAAACTAGTGAGAACATGGACAAATATATAAAAGTATTAATGATGCAAATATATGGAAATAGAGCAAGCAAAAAGCAATTAGGCAAAAACTGGTTGCCTGCTTGATGAGGAGAAACGAACATGACGGAAGTGGAGGCAGGGCAGTTTGGTGTCTTGGATTTGTTTCATTACAAAAACGTCTAAAAATCTGACTTAGAAGATGGTGGGAAGTACAGTGGTGAGTAGCAACTAGAGAGGAACAGGGTTTCCATTGCTTGTAATATTTGAACACAAGACTGAAGAGTCTGGACTCATCTAGACTCTTAACTAAGCTAGAACTAGAAGTTACGATAAAAGCTGCAGAACGGATTATAACCAGCAGAGGCTAGAGGCAGGAAGCCCTGTGAAATTCGCCTGGATCAGACTGATAGCACTGGAAGTGAACTGGATTGTAGATCTGAGGGAAAATGCAAAAGAAAAAATAGCACAATTTAGTGGGAGGAAAAGCAAGCCACTTGCTTGCCTAGGGGACTTTTTGTTAGACGTGTCATAGTTTCTTCAAATTTAAGCGAATCATAAGAAAGCCAAATTAATATCTCCCATTTAATATGCATATGTGTCTTGTTTTAATGCAAAAAAACCCCAAATATTTGATCAAATAAGGAAAACATCGCCTCTAACTATACCTACATGGAGAAAATAGGAAGATTAGGTAAAACTTAAATGTCAAAAGATTTACTTGACAAAAAAATACCTGAGAAGTGGCAAAGTAAGGTTTAGAGGGAGTTACTGAATTCTATCCCCCAAACCTATTGTGATTGATATATAGTAAGTTGTCACGTGAGGGAACCGATTTGACCATCGGCTGATTGATGTAAATAAGAGTTGAGGTTCTCTAGCATCTCAACATTGCAGGAAAACAGTGTTATTTGAGGACCTGCTATAGTTTTCTTATTTCTTAAATTTAGTAAGTGAAAACTGCATTGAATTTTTATTTAGCCAATATTACACTTGGAAATGGATGGCATTGCTGCCTGCTACAATCCTTTCTCTGGGCATTCACTAAGCATTCCTTTCTAAACAGAAACCCCAAATTTCAGGGTATTCTTTAACAATGTAAATCAACCAGGACACTGAATTGTTTAATCTTTTCTCATCTGTCTTAAAACACATACAATTATGTGTTTAATTCCACTTTTTACTTCTATTTTTTAGGATGAATGCTGTTAAACTTACAGTACTTTTCTTAAACCCTTTAAGATATATTTAAAAATCAAACTGGAATAATTTAAAGCTTTGTCACCTAATTTTATAAATATTTTAGGTGCCCTTGGGTATAATAGAGATTGAACTTTAATACCATTACGAGAATAGAGAAATATTTTGATATAGTAGTTTCAACACTGTGAATGATATAAATTTGTATCTTCAGAATGTTGTCCTAACTTTTAGCCATTTCTTTCCTAATGATAATAGGATTAGAAGGTCAAAGTTAGTTTCTACAGTTTGGCTAAGCTGAATTTCTCATTCTTCAAACAGATAAGCAGAGAGGCAGTATTTTATTGGTGACATGAACAAAATATCTGTAAGGACCTACATTTGATCTATAAACAGTTGGTCAGCAGCTGGGTGCCTCAAATAATGGCTTCCTGGCCCAGCAAACAAACCACGTATGTCCTGACGTAGCAGATGGACTACTGTGTTGTCCTACAGAAGGGTTACCTGAGCTGCCTGTGTCTAATCCTCTACCCATTTTTTGGCACCTTTCTTAGAGGGGTTAAGTGATTTGTCCAAGATCACAGAGAAGGTGAATGTCAGAGATAGAATTCAAACACAGATCTGAAGCCAGAACCTAAGCTTTTGCCCACTCTACTTGTTGGATCCTAATTTTGTCAGCCAAATTAACATTTCTTTGGACACTGTCCTTTTTTATCTCCAGATGACAATAGATTGTAAAGAACCCCCCAAAAAATAGATTCTAAACCGTTGATGCAAGGTGTGGAAAAGAACAGGCCACTAGCATCTCCTTGATCCATACTGTCCTGGCATCTGGGAGGGCCTCAGGCCATTTCCCCAACTTTCCCAGCACTTTCTCCCCGCTGCCTTGTACACTACAGTCTGGTCCTGTCGGTCCTGTCGCACTGGGCTTCTTTCAATGGCTCCAGCACCTCACTATCTTTCCCACCTCAGGACATCTGCACAGGTCGCTCCCTCCTGAAATTCTCAGCTTCCCACCCATTCACATAGCAAGATAGATTTTTCTCAGTCTTCATAGCTAGGCTTAAGTGTCACCTCAGAAGGACCTGACTATGCCATCTGAAGGAGGTTTCCCCTTTATCATTCTCTTATCTTTGGCCCTTGACTTCATAGTTTTCATTACAAAATAGTTGCAAATATTGTTTTGGGTTTTGGGCTTGGGATTTTGACATTCTCTTAAGAAACTGAGAAAAGATCATATTTATCTTGTTTGCTATCTTCGGTGCCTAGTAAAGCGCTTAACACAGAACAGTGCTTTTTGTTTGTTATAAATGAATGAATTGATAATTCACTTGTATTTATTTCTCCATTTTACGGACAAAAATATGACAGCTTTGTTGCATGTCCCACTAGGCTGCCCATCATGGCTCCTGAGGATTGCCACTTGCCTTTCTAATTCTCACAAGCCCTGCCCTTAGTGAACCATCCCGAAATGTGGCACAAGATTATCCCAAGTTCATTGGCCTGTAG